TTTTCTTTGAGACAGTGTCTCGCTCTGTCGCCCAGGCTGGAGTGCAGTGGTGCGATCCCAGCTCATTGCAGCCTCCGCCTCCTAGGTTCAAGCAATTCTTCTGCCTCAGTCTCCCGAGTAGCTGCGACTGTAGGTGCCTGCCACCATACCTGGCTAATTTTTGTTTTGTTTTGTTTTGAGACAGTTTTTGCTCTGTTGCCTAGGCTGGAGTGCAGTGGTGTGATCTCAGCTCACTGCCACCTCCTGGGTTCAAGCGATTCTCCTGCCTCAGCTTCCTGAGTAACTAAGATTACCAGCTCACACCACCATGCCTGGCTAATTTTTGTGTTTTTAGTAGAGATGGGCTTTCATCCTGTTGGCCAGGCTGGTCTCGAACTCCTGACTTCAAGTGATCTGCCCACCTCAGCCTCCCAAAGTGCTGGGATTACAGGCGTGAGCCACCGTGCCCAGGCAATATTTGTTTTTTCAGTAGAGACAAGGTTTTACCATGTTGGCCAGGCTGGCCTTGAACTCCTGACTTCAAGTGATCTGCCCCACCTCGGCCTCTCAAAGTGCTGGGATTATAGGCTTGAGTCACAGCGCCTGGCCCATTCATTAAATAATTTTTGAGCACCTGCTGCGCCTTCTCCCTCTCACTCCATTGCAGCCACACCGGGCTCCTCACTGTTCCCGTAGCAGCAGGCATGTGTCCCCCACAGGGCTTCCGCACTGGCTGTTCACACTGCCTGAACGCCCTCATGCTACATCTGCACTGTCCAATATGGCCGCCTCTGGCCACACATGGCTACAGTTCTAGATGCCAGAGATATGACAGTGAATAAAACAAAACTCCTGCCCTCACGGAGTTCACGTGTAACAGAGGAGATGGACAGGGGCAGATAAATGAGTGAAACATGGAATGTCAGCCGCTGGTTCCTGCTCGGGTAGATGCAGGGCGCGGTGGGCACAGTGGGGGCTGGGAGCAGTGTTATGCGGCTGTCCTGGGAGGCCTCACTGAATGGTGACACCTGGGCAGAGGCCTGAAGGAGGGGAGGGAACAGCTGTCCCTCTGGCCCTGGGTCAGGTGAGGAGCTTTGAATTAGATGGGAAGTGTTTAAGTGGCACTGGGTTCTACGTGACTGAAGGTGGCCAGAAAATTCATCAGCTGACCTGGCGGTTCTGTGAGGATCTAGAAAGGCCAGGTCCACAGAGGTGGATGGAGACCATTTTCAGTTCCCCGCCCTCCTGATCTCAGGTCTTCAGTAGCCAGTCACAAGCAGATGTGGTGCTCCTCGTCCCCATGCTGTGTGTCATCAGGAATAGGGCGTTAATCTTGAGGGATTTAGGGCCAGCAGACCCTCTGACCCTGTCGCTCTTGTGGCCATCCTGTGGCGTGCCATCAGTGTCTCAAGGCACTCAGCTGACGCTGCAGACGTCACCGCTAGAGGCTGGGGGTGGCCTGTGGTGTCTGGCTTGCAAAGCTGTTTCAGAGAATGTGGCGCAAAGTGCCCCGGCGCAAGTGACAGGAAAGACAGGCTGCCTCGCTTGAATTCCCCGGCACTTGGGGTAATCACAGGGCCTCCCTTGGGAGGCACAGGCAGGTGGGGTACCCAAGATCCCCCAAACACAGAAGTCCTGGCTTTTCCACAGCTCAGACCCCTCCCGCCTCTCTCCTCTGCACAGCGTGTCCCCAGCTCTGCCCTGCGCCCCTCTCTTGCGGGCTCAAGGATGTCAAAACTCTTCCTCTCCCTCATTCCTGAGTCATGCTCACCCCTCCTGGGGAGTTCACTGACTGAGGCTTGTTCATCTTGCCCGATTTTCCTGACTGAAGACTTTCTATTTCCAGCAGCCTGCGGCCCACCATGGCAGGACCACCCCTGTGTGTGTTAACACCATTGAAGTCCCCCATCCTTGCAGCACAGCGGGCTTCAGTGTGGGCAGGAGGCTGGATCCGCTGGACTCGGAGGGCTGCCCGGGCTGAGAAGATGGTTCATTTTTGTTTGATTTATTTTTATTTATTTATTTGTTTTGAGATGGAGTCTCACTCTGCCCTCCAGGTTGGGGTGCAGTGGCGTGATCTTGGCTCACTGCAACCTCCACCTCCCGGGTTCAAGTGATCCTCCCACCTCAGCCTCCTGAGTAGCTGGGATTACAGGCATGTGCCACCACACCCAGTTAATTTTTGTATTTTTAGTAGAAACGGTGTTTCACCATGTTGGCCAGGCTGGTCTTGAACTCCTGACCTCAAGTGATCAGCCAGCCTCTGCCTTCCTAAGTGCTGGGATTACAGGCGTGAGCCACTGTGCCTGGCCTCATTTTTGTTTTGGAAGGAAACAGGGCTAGAGCAGAGAGAATCTGAGCTGAGAAGCAGAAGAATGTTCTGTGAGCGCTTGCTGTGTGCCGGGGAAAGGCTCTGTGGACTTTCCATTATTTCGTCCTTACCTGCTGAGGGCAGGGCCTCTGATCGTGCCCAGTGTGCAGATGGAGAAACTGAGGCTGGGCCCAGGGGGCTCCTGAGAGCCTGGGGGAAGCCTGGCTTTAATCGGAGGTGATGCTAAGTGCCTCACACACATTATCTCCCTGAGGGCTGGGGGCAGATGCCCCCACTTTCCCTGTGGGGAAAACAAGGCTCAGAGAACTGCTGCTCAGGGTCACAGTGGGAGCCAGGAGGCACGGATGGCCCTGTGCTGGGCGTCTTCTGTGCCGGGAGGAGTTCTGATGCTTCACTGGGTGAAACACACCAGCCTCTTGGCAGCCTGAGGAGAGGCCGATGTTGTTTTTCCCCCATTTACAGATGGGGAAGCAGCGGCACGGCGAGGTGGGGCCACTTGTCCCTGGTGACAGAGCTGGGGCATCCTGGAATAAGACAGGGGCCTGCCCAGTACAGCCCTGAGCCCTACTTTAGGGCCACCTTTGATTTATGAGGCCAGCTTTTTTGTTGTTGTTTGGTTGGTTGGTTTTTGAGACGGAGTCTTGCTCTGTCACTCAGGCTAGAGTGTAATGGCACGATCTCAGCTCACTGCAACCTCCGCCTCCAGGGTTCAAGTGATTCTCTTGCCTCAGCCTCCCAAGTGGCTGGGATTACAGGTGCCCGCCACCACACCCAGCTAATTGTTGTATTTTTTAGTAGAGCCAGAGTTTCACCAGGTTTGCCAGGCTGGTCGCGAACTCCTGACCTCAGGTGATCCACCCACCTCGGCCTCCCAAAGTGCTGAGATTACAGGTGTGAGCCACCACACCTGGCCTTGTTTTTTTTTTTGTTTTTTGTTTTTTTTTTTTTGAGATGGAGTTTTACTCTGTCACCCAGGCTGGAGTGCAGTGGTGCGATCTCTACTCACTGTATCCGCCACCTCCTGGGTTCAAGCACTTCTCCTGCCTCAGCCTCCCAAGTAGCTGGGATTACAGGCACCCACCACCATGCCTGGATAATTTTTGTATTTTTAGTAGAGACGGGTTTTCACCATGGTGGCCAGGCTGCTCTCGAATTCCTGACCTCAGGTGATCTGCTTGAGTCCAGTTTTGTGACAGGCACTGTGGAAAGTCAGCAAAGGGAAAGAGTGGGGGCGGGTCAGACACATGACACAGACCACTAGCCACAGGACAGGAGGGCAAGGGAGTCCCCGGAAGTCCAGCATCAGCTTGGGCACCCAGAACCAGGGGATGTCTAGATGTCCGCTGTGGAGCACTCACAGATGGAGACAGTGTTCACCAGCTCTTCGGCCACCCTGGGAGATGGTTCCTGCCACTTTTCCTCTCCGTGGCCTCCCCTCTGCCCCTCCTCCCCTTTCCCTGCCTCTCCCAGCCCCTGCCCCATCTTTCTCCATCTCTCCCCTGCCTTCTGTCCCCTCTTCCTCTTCCACCTCCACCTTGACTTAAACAAAGGTAGCAGAAGAAGCTTCATCCTGTGATAGGCACAGGAGTCAGTGCGTGCCTGTGCCAGGGCAGAGAGGGACTCACTCACAGGTCACACTCCAGCGCGGAGGAGAGACGTCCACCACAATGGGTCAAAATGAGCTCCTAGAGCAAAGACCAAGCCAGGGAAGCGTTAGAGCGCTGGGGGGTGGGTTGTAAATAGCAGAGTGGGGAACTTGGTGACAGGAGTAGCCAGCACTTAGACAGTGTCTCCTGTGTGTCCGAGGAGGCAGGCACTGGCCATCTCCAACCTACAGATGGGGAAACCAAGGCCCTTGCCCACGGCCTCATGAGCAGAAAGCACAGCGCGTGGGTTTGAATCTGTCCATCTGGGTCACGAGGCCCATAGTGGGCAAGATGGAGGGGGTGGGAGCAGGAGGGCAGGCAGAAGGGCGGGCCGGGGCCCCGAGGGGTGAGGGCTGCGCCTGTCCTGGCACCCAGGAGCCTCAGCCCCGTGTCTCCGCTCCAGGGAAGATGCTGATCCTGGGCTCCATGTTCAGCCTGGTGGAGCCTGTGCTCACCATCGCGGCTGCGCTCAGCGTCCAGTCGCCCTTCACCCGCAGCGCCCAGAGCAGCCCAGAGTGCGCGGCAGCACGGCGGCCGCTGGAGAGCGACCAGGGTGACCCCTTCACACTCTTCAACGTCTTCAACGCCTGGGTGCAGGTGAGGCTGGTGGTGAGGCCCCTCTGTCTGTCACCCTGCTCGGGGCCAAGGCCTTCTGTGGCTGTGGCTCCTCCTCGTGTCCTACCCTGGGAGGACCACTGAGCCCTCCACCGACTGGGCCTGCCTGGGGAGGGCCACGTCTCCACCATCCATGGCCTCGGCTCGAGACAGCATGTGCCCAGGCCGGGGGCACAGAGGAGCCCGGATTTCTGGAGCACTGATGAAAACCTGTGCCATCTGGAGAAAGTCCAGGCTCATTGGGGGGGCATCTGGATATCCAGTATATGTCCCCTGAGTCCCCACCCTAATGCTGGCCCTGTACCATAGTGCTGAGGATCCATCAGTGCCAAAACTACCCTGGCCCTGCCCTCCCGGGGCTCACAGCCCAGTGCGGGGAGACAGACCACTGATGTGACAGTGACAACCCAGAGAGGGCTGGAATGGGGAGTCCAAGGGGCTGGGAGAGCCCAGAGGGGTGTCGAACCCAGTGTGTGGGTAGTCTGGGAGGGCTTCCCATAGGAGGGGGCACTGGGGCTGAGACCTGGAAGCAGCAGAGCAGGTGTCCCTGAGGGATGCTTGTGTTGGGGTTTTGGGTGCTAGGTCAGCCCCTCCCTCCCTGAGCTGGCTGGGCCCTGACACCCTGGCATCTGCTCCTCCCCTCAGGTAAAATCTGAACGAAGCAGAAACTCTCGCAAGTGGTGCCGCCGCCGGGGCATAGAGGAGCATCGGCTGTACGAGATGGCCAACCTTCGGCGCCAGTTCAAGGTGAGGCTCAGGAGGAGGGGTAAGGCTGGCCCCGCCCAGGCAGATGCATGCAAGCACACTCCAGGGCACTGCCTCCCCTTCCCGGACAGCAGTCAGACCAGAGTCCCACCCTGCACCTACCTCCCCCACCACCCGGTGACCAGGTGTTGGGGCAGCCGGGCGGGGCAAAGGGAGCAGAAATCCAGGAGGGCTTCCTGGAGGGGTGGACGGAGTCAGTGGACATGCAGCATCCTCGGGAAGAGCTCGCCCTCCCGACCGGGGATGCAGAGCTGGCTGCATGGGCGTGGTGCTGGAGGCAGCCTATGGTTGTGGTTGGGGCCGGCACATCTGGAGCCAGACACCCCAGCCACAAACCTGGCTCTGCCATTTCTGACATCGTGGCCCCGGGCATGTTATTGCTTGTCTCTGGGCCTCAGCTTCCCCTAGAAAAAAAGAGAGGATAAAAATAGCACCTGCCGGGCAGGCGTGGTGGCTCACACCTGTAATCCCAGCACTTTGGGAGGCTGAGGCGGGTGGATCACGAGGTCAGGAGTTCGTGATCATCCTGGACAACATGGTGAAACCCCGTCTCTGCTAAAAATACAAAAATCAGCCAGGCTTGGTGGTGAGTGCCTGTAATCCCAGCTACTTGGGAGGCTGAGGCAGGAGAGTCGCCTGAACCCAGGAGGCAGAGGTTGTGGTGAGCCAAGATTGAGCCATTGCACTCCAGCCTAGGCAAAAAAAAAAAAAAAAAAAAAAAATTTGGGTTTCTCCTGTGCCCACACAGTTCCGCAGCTTGTTTCATGGATACTCCGTGGATGTTCTCCATCTGAGTGCAGAAAGACCTGCTGTTAGGCCCTTTTCCGTGGTTGTATCCATGGATTGAGGATAGAATAAAAGAGTTCCTGGTGTCACCCGTTCTCTTTGGTTGGAGATGGGCAAGCGGAGGCCCAGAATAGGCAGTCACCCAGCCGACGCCTCCTGTGCAATTTCTGGGGTCCTGGTGTTGGGGACCACAGATGCCCTGACCGCTCTCAGCATCGGTCCTGAGGTCTCTGGCTGCTAGAGTTCAGGCTTCACTGGTCCCCAGATGCTTTGAGAATCTAATGGAAAGTGTGAGCCCTTTGCACACACACATGCACACACACAGACACAAACACACACACAATCTCCTGTGTCCTCCATCGGCCAGGGCTCAGCAGGAAACAGAGGGTCCAACCACATCGGGTCGCTTGAGGAATGTTGACAAGGTGCGGACACGGGGAGGGCATGGGTCTCCGATTTTATGGGTCACAGTCAGCTGGAGGGTCTGCTGAGTCCAGATGCCCAGCCCCGCCCAGCCCCGCCCAGCCCCCTCCACTCTCCACCTGGTCGTTCTGGAATGAGGCCCAGGACTTGGCATTCCCACCAAGTTCCCAGATGCCCCAGGGCTACACTCGGAAGCGCTAGTGCAGGACGCCCACCAGGGCTGTGTGGGAAAGCAGGGCTCCTTGAGGGGCATCTGGATATCCAGTATATGTCCCCTGCCCCAGACCCGAGGGGCAGGTGGGGCAGTCACCAGAACCTGGAGCCAGCTTTTGGAGAAGGCACTGGGCGCCCCTGCCTGCCTCCTCCTGCCCCTGGCCCCGGTGTTCCCTCTGCCGACAGTGAGGACAGCTCTCCCTCTGGAGCAGCGATCCGCGCCCAGCACCACGCGAGGGGCTGTCCTCATTCAGCCCCCTTTGGGCACTAGCAGCCCTGCCACCGGGAGGGTCCCCATTTCCATATGAGTCCAGAGCCCACTGAGTCTGCTCTGAGGCCCTCACCCCTGCCCACCTGCCCCTAGGAGCTGTTGGAGGACCACGGGCTGATGACTGGGGCCCAGGCCACGCAGGTGGCGGACAGCTACAGTCGGCTGCAGCAGCGCCGGGAGCGCCGGGCCCTGCACCAGCTGAAACGCCAGCACGAGGAGGGCGCGGGGCGCAGGCGCAAGGTGCTGCGGCTGCAGGAGGAGCAGGACGGCGGCTCCAGCGAGGAGGACCGGGCTGGCCCAGACCCCCCAGGGGCTGGCGATGGCGTGGACATCCAGGTGGGTGCCATGGGCTGTGGGGTGTGGGGGTAGGTGGGTGGGGTTTACCAAGGTGGGTCTTGACCTCTCCTGGGGGTTCCCAGGGGCCATGACCCTGTCCTCATTTCAGGATCCGGGTTTCTGTGGATGGTGCTTGGCCCCAGGTATCTGCAGCGCCTGGGGGTCTGTGGATCATGGTAGCAGCTCCTCAGGTCCCCTAAGACTCTGCCTTCCCATGTTCCCCCCAGGATGTGAAGTTCAAGCTCCGGCATGACCTGGCGCAGCTGCAGGCCGCTGCCAGCTCAGCCCAGGACCTGAGCCGCGAGCAGCTGGCTCTGCTGAAGCTGGTGCTGGGCCGGGGCCTGTACCCGCAGCTGGCTGTCCCCGACGCCTTCAACAGCAGCCGAAAGGACTCAGACCAGGTGGGGCCTGTTCTGCCCCATCCTATGTTTCGTCCTCCAACACACGAACCCTGAGTGCCTGTCCTGAGTGCCCTGAGGTCCTCATCCCTGCCCACCTGCCGCCAGGAGCTGTTGGAGGACCACGGGGTGACTGAAACAACCCTGGTTCTGTCCCCATGGGGCTCACAGCCCAGTGGGAGGACAGACCTGTCCCCAGACGACCCAGAGTGGGCAGGGCGAAATCCAGGAGGGCTTCCTGGAGGAGGGGACCTGGGCCAGAGGGTGGAAGAGAGGCATCCTGGGCAGAGGAGAGAGCAGATAGGAGGGCCTGTGCTTCCTT